TAGCCATCGGGAGCGAGACGACGAGCACTGAGAAACCTTATAGGGTCTTGTATGAGTGCGGCTTCTCAAGGGTATCCTTGTCATGGCGCCAACATCGCAGAGCGGCTTTTGTTCGGAAAACGATAGGATGGGACTGGAGTGTCCTGGAGAATTTCGTTCCGGATTTCGAGGTGGATTTCGTGCCTTTTTTTTGGCCCGGACTGAAGACCGAAAATAATCCACGCGAAATTCACTTCGTTTTTCGCGCGCCGCCTCGGGCAAAAAGTCCACGCGGAAATCCGCTGCAGCACGTCTGCAACGCCGGTGCAATGATCCTTGGGGGGCTCCATTGCCGCTTGGAGCCGTGCTGTGGCGGTCGTGTCGCCTCATGGAGGTAAGACGGAGGGCATGGTGAGCAAGAATGTTGTTGTGATCTTGTCAGATGCGAGACCACGCTATGCTAGATTTGGGTCCCCCTGTTCTCTCCTTGCTCTGCGTGTCTCTCGCCACGACCTCGTGCTAGAGCCAGGCACGCGTGCCACCTGAGTCAAGATGAGTCGGCCATTTCGACGACCCCCCTCTCTCCGCAATTATCCCATACTCCCACCCTCAGCATCAGCACGGACGCCCAGGCGATCAGCCGGGAGCAGGGAAGAATCAACAGGCTAACACTGTAGATTCTATACATATATACCTCCAGGAGCCTCTCTTGGAAGTCTGTGTAGCCATTGTGGAGGTCTTTTGGGGCCCGTCTGGAAGGATGTGAGGCCCTCTTCGTGCTTTTTTCTAGTCCAATGAGGCCGAGGCGTTTTCTTGGAGCCATCCTGGAGGCTATCGATGCTGACAGGGAGAGTCCAAGATTGGGGTCCCCCGCTTGGAGCCCGAAACGTCGCCTCTGTTGGCCCTGCTAGGGCGCTCTTTGGGGCGGTTTGGGGGGACTTCAGGGCCTTGTCGAAACGATTCTGGCCCCCTCTCGGGCCTCTTCCAGCCGATTTTTGAGTTTTGAGGCATCAGAACCGAATCGGAAACAAAAAGACGAGACGGCGCAACTGCTTGAACACCGTCGCCGAATTCGGTCTACGTATTTGCTCTCGGGGGTATCCTTTGGGAGGCTCCGCGGCCACTTGATTCCGTATTGGAGCATATTGGTAGGGGAGGAGCTCTTCTGGTGCAGTCATGGAGTGTATTTTGAACATCTCTCGAAAGCGTCGGACGGTGGACATCGAGGTTGTGAGGACCCAGAGGGTGCGTTTAAGGAGCTCGGCCCCCCACCCCTGGGGAGGGGGGGTTAAACGAGATGCTCGATTGCTATTGGAAGGGGGAAAAAGGGGGAGGAGGGGGACAGCCGAGCATCTCACGCGCCTTCTTACACCCAGCAAGCGAGGGGCGGATGATCGTTTTCGGAAGAGAATGTGATATAAGCTTCGTTCGCCTTAACAGCGCCCTGGGCGTTTTGTTTTAGAACTATAGTTGGGCTCTTGACAGGCTGAACGCTACGTTGTTTTAGCGTTTGTAGTGCAGTTGCTGTGGCGTTCGTTTGCGTTTTTGTTGGGCGCTTTCAGGCTGAAAGCGTTAAGCCATGCTCGAAAGCGCTAAAACAACGCATCATGTGTTACGCGTTTTTTTATAGTTTTTTGCTGAGACCTGCGAACACGTTAAAACAAATGGCTTCCAAGACACAAAGCTGAGAACAAAAAAAAGCTAAGACGTTTCCAGGGGTGCGCTCTGACCAGGAGGTCGAGTGGCACACGTTCTCGGCGACGGGGGGCTCCAGGAGGCGTTCCACAGGGAGCGAGCAACTTCAGTGCAGCCCTTCAACCCTCGACCCTCATCAGCCTCAAAACCCCAATCCTCGATCAGTGGTCCCTCACCCCTCCGCGTCCTCCTCCCCCCGAGTCCTCCGTCTCCCCCTCCCGCTTCCCCCCCCCCCCCCCTCCATCCCCTGAGCACTGACGGCGTGAAGGTCGAAGCTTCGACGCTGTCACCCTCCTCCCCCTCTTCCTCCATTATTTGTCCTTGTAGATAGCTCCTCCCTGTCGCACCCCGAGGCCGGTCGGACGGGCGGGCTGGCCACTTCGCTTGGCACTTCCTCACCATGTGTGACACTGATGCTGAAGCATTGAGAACAGTTGTTCAGAATGTGGCTCTCGCTTCAGCGCCGAGTGCATTCGTTTTCAAAACTTCGCACGAGCTTCACGGATTGAGAGCGGGTGGTTTTTAAGAGCTTCAAGGATAGAGGGCGGGCCGTTTTCAACACGTGGCTCTCACCATCGCGCCGCGCACATTCATTTGAAACCTTGCAAGGGATTCACGGATTGAGAGCGGTTTGTTTTCAACATGTGGTTCTTGCTTAGGTGCCGCGCACATTCGTTAAACTATACTAGAGTTTCACGGGCTGAGGGCGGTCCGTTTTCAAAATGTGGCTCTCGCGTCAAAGCCGCGCACGTTCATTACACAAGTTTGCAAAAGTTTCACGGATGTGAGGGCGGGTCGCTTTCAAAATGGGTCTCTCGCTTTGGCGCCCAGCATCGTCGTTCTACAAATGTGTGAAAGCTTCGCGGATCGAGGGTGGTTCCTTTTCAAATTGTGGTTCTCGCCACCGCGCCGCACACATTTGACTTAAGCATGCGCAAGAGTTTCATTGTTTCTCATGGCTGGCGTACCAAATTTGTGTTTTTTGAACGGTTGAGGGTTGTCAGGGCGCAACAGTTACGTTCATACGTGGTGTTGAGGTCCCAGGAATGGTGTTCTGGCACGATTCAGGATCGCCAAGACGGCGTCGAAGTCCTGAGAATTGTGTTCTGGCACGCTTCAAGATGTTCACACGGTTGTCCCCCAGCGTGGCAACTCCTTCATTGGACTTGACCCCTTGCAGGGGCCTATTGGGAGGGATCTTGGAGGGAGGGTGTATTTCAACGTCGCTGATGAGTCTTGGGGTTACACTGGTCCTCTCCTCCCCCTCCTGGTCCCCACCCATCCCTTTTCCCTCCTCCTCCCCTCCACCCCTGTCCTCCTCGATCCCACTCCCCTCCTCCACCTGTCCTGCAAGTGGGGCGCTGCGGCGGCCGCTTTAAGGCGTCGATTGGTGCCAGATGGGCCCGGGGCCCCTGCACAAGGCAGACTCTGCCGCATCCCCCCGGGGGCATTGCTAGGGGGAGACAGGCGCCCAGTCATCGCCGATCGGGGCGCGATAGCCCGCCCCGCCCGGGAGCTTGCGGTCTCGCTTTCGGACACGCCCATCGGCGATCTCTCGGCGATGTATCGCCGATTCCAGCCCGATGTTCCGAGCCCGCACCCCCCCAAAACTCAAGGGAGGAAACCACCCGGACTCGATGATTGGCGTTTCGTAAAGGCCTTGGGCGTCTGCTGAGCAGTCCTGCCCTGTTCCATTCCTTCTCTGGATGCGTTTACTGCACGACCTCGCGTGTCGGGGTGATTTCTTGTGCGGGTGGACCTTGTGCTCTCCGCTAGGAGAAGGAGGGCGAGGAGGAGGAGGAGGAGAAGGAGGAGGAGGAGGAGGGGGAGGCGGAGGAGGAGGAGGAGCAAGAGGAGGAGGAGGAGGAGGAGGAGGAGGAGGAGGAGGAGGAGGAGGAGGAGCAGGAGCTGCCCCTCAAACCCCCCCCCCTCGGCCGCGACGGGCCCGCCCGAGGCTCTGGCGCCCTCGCCCGGGCCAGCGCCCGTCACGCCGCCGCCGTCGAAGCGCCGGCGCCGCAGCTCGGCGGCGCGTCCCGCCGCTCCCAGGCGGGCCCCCGCCGCGGAGGCCCCAGACATACAGCGGAGGCCCTTGCCTGGCCGAGGCAGGAGGGCGCATACACCGAGTCGGCAGAGCGTGGAGCGGGGTGGCGCGGGGGCGGCCTTCAAAGACGGCCAGGGGCCTCTCACCTCTCAGAAGGCAGGGAGGGGCCTTCTGCGGAGCGCCAGGATGCCTCCGTGAGGGCGTGTCCCTCTACAGGAGGAATATACAAAAATAGTCAACAAACAGTCTGGGGGCGATTTTCAGCTTTATTGTTTTGGGGGGGGCAATGTTGCTGTATGTTTGGCGAGTTCTTGTTTCACCGGCCGCATTTTGGTGAGGGCACCTCCCCCGCTCCATGAATTTGGCGACCGCGCGCCAAATCCATGGATCGCTAATCCATGTTTGCGTGCCCCCGAAAGAAGCACCCTGCTTGCCTCCAGGTGGCCCCGGGTTTCTTGGGTTTCGATGGTCTTGCTGTGGGAGGCATGACGTGTTTATACCAAAAAATCCATGGACGTCCTGGGTTCTCAGGGTCGAAATTCGCGGGGAAGGTTTCTTGTGGTCGCGCCTCCATTGTACACCCACACCTGCAGCCTGGGCCCAGGATTGGTGCCCATGCTGCGGCAGCAACTCTTGGGAGCCCTGTGTGGCCTCGAAGTCAGCGTGCGCCAGCGCCTGGTGGTGTCTGCGACAATGCCTATCTGGCGTCGACTCAGCGTCGATGGGCGTCGACTGGCGTCGACCAGCGCCGATTCGCAAGAGCCAGCAAGATGACATGTGAGGCTCGCGTGAGTTGCCGCAGAAGTAATGAGCGCACCTGCCCCAGCAAGGAAGGGCGCATAAGGCAGGTTCGCGCCGTGTCGACCAGCGGCGACCCCAGCGCGGGCGTTCAAGGTTGAACGCCGCCTGTGGCTCAGAATCGACCCATCCTTGAACGATCCGGCCTCTTTGTCAGGGCCGATCGTCCAAATTCGAACGATCCCCGCGGTGTCGGGAACCAACGCCAGAGTCGACACGACGCGAACTTGCCGTACGCCGAACCCCAGGATGGGCCCGGCCAGGACCAGCGCGGGTGACGTCCGGCGGCGGAGGTTGGGCGACGGCGGCCGCGGCCGCTGTCGCGGTGACGGCGGTGACGGCGGTGCCGGTGGCGAGGGCGGCCACGGCCACGGCGAGCCCAGACGCCAGAAGATGTCATTTTTCAACGCGCGGCCTCCTCCGCCTCCTCCTTCTCCTCCTCCTCCTCTTCAAACTCGTGCGCAAGGAGTTCCACGCACTCCATAAGGTGCTGCGGCTCCCACCTTCACCTTCCGCCTGACCGACATACTATCTTTCGACGCCTGGTTCCCGACCACGGCGGTCAGGTCGATGCAAGCTCTGGCGGCCGTGACGTTGTGGCGCACGGCGGAGTTCACGATTACGACCTGGCCGGCGACTTTGCAACGGCTGGATGCTGTGGCGTCCCGCTTGGTTGGGCTCCCGCGGCTGGCAGCTGGGCAGTGGTCGCCTCCATTCTGGCGCATTGGCACTGCCGTGGTGCAACGGCTTGCGGCGGCGTCCCGGGACCGTCCCATGGAGGCCCCTGCCCGTGCGCTCCCGATTTACCGACAAGCAGCGGAGGTGGCCAAACGCGCTGTTCGGTTGTCCGTGACAGCCGGCACGCGCCCTCACCCACAGAGGGTTTTCGTGAAGTTCCTGCAGGCGGCGGCCCACCCCGACACCTTCGACACGACCCTGAGGAAGAGGCTCGCTACATGGATCGAACACGAGCGGATCCCACATGACCTCCAACAGAGGTGGCGGCAGTTGCAGGTCTTCCTCGTTACACTGCCTCCTGCATGGCGGTGGATCGTCATGAGGACCCTTTTCGGGCGGGTGGCTCACCAGCTACCGCATGCATGCTCTCGCTGTGCGGCATGCCTGTGTTTTTGGATGCGGAGAAGGGCGCGACGAGGTCAGCCACTACCTGCAATGCCGTCATGCCCTTCACTGGCTGCCTCGCCCTCGACAGTTCCTCCATGGTGATCTTCTGCATCGTCTCGGGCCCGCCGGAGATGAGGCTTACCACGACGATCCACGGCACGAGCACTCCAGATTCACAGCAATGCGCAACCTCGTGTTGCTCTATATTACCTATACCTAGAGGTCAAGCCTACGGCTTCGTCTACAATATCACCTACTTCCACATACTCCATGCACAAGACCTGCCACAGGGTCGCCCTGGACAGGCTTAACAACAACTTCTGAGTCTGGCCCCGCCCGCCGGCCGGCCAGACGAACCGCATGCGGGCACTGGCGTTCCTCCTCCTCCTCCTCCTGCTCCTCCTCCTCCTCCTCCTCCTCCTCCCCCTCCTCCTCCTCCTCCTCCTCCTCCTCCTTCTCCTCCTCCTCCTCCTCATTCTGGTCCAGGATGGGTTGGCGCCCGCCCACCGTCGCGAGCGCGCGCAGAGGAGCCCGGCCGAGGGGGGGGGTCGGGGCGGTCGCCGCTTCCGGGGCCACGGCAGGCCCCGGTCTCCCGCGGTGGCTGCCGCGCGCAGAGGGCGGGGGGGCCCCCAAACGGGGTGGTGACCACACCGTGTGGTGAGTCGGTGGGGATTCGGGGTCACCGCACGGTTTTGGGACGCGAGGCCCTCGCCGAGGATGTCTCGGGCGATTGGGGCCTCCGAGGTCCCAAAACCGTGCGGTGGCGGGCCGTGCGGTGAGGTCTCTTGGGATTCCGAGGTCAGGCGGAGGGGAGGGGGGAGGGCTTCGTGGAAGCGCCTTTGTGCCTTCCGAAGCAGAAAAAACACATAAACATAAACTGTCGGCGCTCCGCGCGGATATCTTGGATCCGCTCCTGGGCCCCCCAGCGGCGCCTCCGGCGCCGCCCCTGGCGCGCTCTGCGCGCCTGGGAGGGGGGTCCGGCTCGGATCCAAGTAATCCGCGCGCCAAAAGTTTATTTTTATGTGGGTTTTTCTTTTCTCCTTAGAAGACTCAGGCGATGGCAAACACGGATCAAGGGGGCGTGGATGAGAGACGGGTCCCGTTTCCATAGGGAATCGCTGAGTTCCGCCGCCGAACGAGGCGGCACCGGCCGCATCTTGGGGAGGGCATGTCTGCCGATCCATGGATTTGGCGGCCGCGCCAAATCCATGGACCGCTAATCCTTGTCTGTGCGCCCCCGAAAGACGCGGGCCGTATTTGCAGATGTAGGGCCGACGCCGTCCAAGACGCAGCCTCCTTCGAATAGGCCTTCACCCCTCCTTCCACCTTCGCCCACTTGCGCGCGCCGCCAAGTTTCTGATTCGGTCCCGACGTGTTTCTCGATGTCGGCTCTCTTCGAACGAGAGACACGGCACAAGCGCAAACTTCCGGAGGTCCGCGCGGGTTTCCTGGATCTGCGCCAGGCCCTCACCGGCTGCGCCTCGGGCGCCGCCCCGGGCGTGCCCCGCGCACCAGGGCGGGGGCCCAGCGCCGATCCGTGAATCCCGTGCGGAGCTTCGAACCACCAAGGCCTCCTTCTTTGATGACCACGGGAAGTCGCCAGGGGCAGGAGGAGGAGGAGGAGGAGGAGGAGGAGGAGGAGGAATAGGAATAGGAATAGGAATAGGAATAGGAATAGGAATAGGAATAGGAATAGGAATAGGAGTAGGAGTAGGAATAGGAATAGGAATAGGAATAGGAATAGGAATAGGAATAGGAATAGGAATAGGAATAGGAATAGGAATAGGAATAGGAGGAGGAGGAGGAGGAGGAGGAGGAGGAGGAGCAGGGCCCCGCGAGTGCCCCTCCCCCCCTCTGCTCCCGCCTCGGCCGCCCTGCCCTGCCCTGCCGCGCGCCCCCTCGCCTGCATCGGGACCGTTCGTCCGACGACGGCGCGCGCGCCCGTGCGGGCTGCCTCTGCCGTGGCGCGGCGACGAGACACGTGCTCTTCTTGGGGTCGTCGAGCCCCGCGGGGCATCGAGCGTGGATCCGGGGTGAGAAGCTTCCCCCGGGGAAGGGATCGGGAGTTCCGGGGCCGCGGACCGAGCCAGCACAGCTCGAAGGATGCGAGGGCTCAGGGGGGAGGGGGGGGGGCGGGAGCATCGACACCCAATCGCCCACGCTTCCTCGATCGGGGAAGGAGAGGGAAGGGAAGAGAAGAGGAGGAGGAGGAGGAGGAGGAGGGGGGAAGGAGGAGATAGGAGGAGAGGAGAAGGAGGAGGAGGAGGCGAGGAGAGGAGGAGGAGGAGGAGGAGAGAGGAGCAGGAGAAAGACAGGGAGGAGCAGCCGTGTGGGTCCTTCCCCCTCTTGGAGGGCCGCGCCTCGGGCCCCGGGGGCGTTCTCCTGCACCAGGCGGCGGGCCGCGGGGTGCGTTCAAGATGCCGACGCCCCAGCAGGGCATGCTTGAAGGCGCAGGCCTCCTCCTCCTCCTCCTCCTCCTCCTCCTCCTCCTCCTCGTCCTCGTCCTCCTCCTCCTCCTCCTCCTCCTCCTCCTCCTCTTCCTCCTTCTCCTCTTCCTCCTCCTCTCGATGCCCCCTCGAACGGGAAATCGTCGCCTGTGAGCCCAGGTGGGGTCAGGAGGGGTGGGTGGATGGTGGCGTCTGAGGGTCGGGGAGGGGGGCATCGCAGGGGTCAAGGAGGAGCGGGAGGAGAGGAGAGGAGGGGTGAGGGCGAGGAGGAGCAGGAGGAGGAAAGGGAGGAGGAGAGAGGAAGACGGGGAGGAGGAGGTGGAGGAGAAGGAGAATGAGAAGGAGCATGAGTAGGCGCAAGAGAAGGAGGAGGAGGAGAAGGAGGAGGAGGAATAAGAGGAGAAGGAGGAGGAGGAGGAGGAGGAGGAGGAGAGGAGCAGAGGACGACGAGGAGGAGGAGGAGGACGAGGAGGAGGAGGAGGAGGACGAGGAGCAGAAGAAGAGGAGCAGCAAGAAGAGGAGGAGGCGGAGGAGGAGGAGGAGGCGGAGGAGGAGGAGCAGGAGCACCCAGGGCCGCGGCCGCGGCAGGCCCGTCGCGCAGCCGCGGGCCGCCGCCGCACGGCCACCGCCGCTGGCCGCACGGCGCGCCGCGCCGTCCGCGCAGCTCGCGGCCGCCCCGGCGGCGGGCGGCCAGCGCGCCGCCGCCCGCAGGGCCGAGGCCGCCGAGGGCGGCGCACGCCGCAGGATGAAGAGGCTCCCGCCCCATTCGATGTTTTTGTTTGTCTCGCGCTCTCTCTCTCTCTCTCTTTCTCGCTCGCTCGCTCTCGTGGCCTTCCAGATGGGGTCGGGGCAGAGGTGGCCAGTGGGTCGCGCCGCATCGCCGGTTCGTCCGCGGTGCGGCTCGAAGTGGGGCCAGAGTTGTTGCACCCGACGCATCGCCCATGCTTCGGTGATGCATCGACGATGACGCGCTATCCTCCAACCCCATCTGCTCCGACCCTGTCTGGGAGGCCTCGCAAGAAGAAGGATAATCAGGATATCCACCCGTTCAATGAATAAGAAGATGGCAATGGCGAAGGTGGAAGGTGACTGAGAAGAGAAAGCACCTGCATGAGCCGGACGTTTAAGATGTCTCCGCAGATCTCTCCGAGCGGCGCTGGATTCCCCCCGCCGGATCCATTAGAACGTCGGGACGCAGCGGCGCCGAGGGCGGCACACGCCGCAGGGTGCAGAGGCCCTGGCCCCCCGTCCCTCGCCTGGTCTGGGCCACCCCGATGGGGACAGACCGCTGAAGCAAAAAACTGTGCATCAAGAGCTGGGGCACCACTTCGAATACACCCCGCGCACCCTCCCGGCCTCAATATTGAGCAGTTGGTCCCAGAGGTGAGCGGTCGGAAAAAATCTGAGCCAAGATCTCGATCGCAGTGCATTCCAATATCAAAACGGGGGGGAGGGGAGAGAATTGAGCGTTGTCGATGCACAGTTTTTCTTCCTTCAACTGGAGTGCAGGCCATCAGAGGGGGGCGAGTCTAGGCAGGCGGCAGCGGCAGCTGGGCTTCGGTTGGGGGGTCTCTCGTCGGCACGGCGATGGCCGCAGCTCGAGCAACTGGTGCGTTCGGACCCCCTCCTCATCCTCCTCATCCTCCCCTCCTCCTCCTCCTCTTCCTCCTCCTCCTCCTCCTCCTCCTCCTCCTCCTCCTGGGTTCCAGGAGGTGCTTCCAGGGCCCAACCTTGAGCTGGCGCTGTCGCACCTCGGTCTGCGCCGAGTCGGGACGCGGAAGTATACCGACACCACTCTGGTGCTCCGGAGGGGGCTCCCGTCTTCGAGCCGACCCTCCGATCTGGATGCGGGGAGCCCGTTCGTCGTCGGAGGCCCCCCGCTCTGCCTCCTCCGCGGACGGCTGCGTCCGACAGGACATCGAGCCGATAGCGATAGCGATAGCGATAGCTCTGCCTCCTCGCCAGCGGCTCAGGGCCCCTGCGTCTGCCCCGCGTGTCGCGCCGCCGGTCCTGGCCCTCGACGCTTCGGCGCGACACGCGTCGGAGTAACCTGTCGGTGCGGGCCCCACAAGGGGTCCCCCCGGCCCTTTCCCGCACGGCTGGGCTTGGCGTCCCAGTGGCCCCCCTGGGGCCGCGCGCCAGATATCGCTCCTGCCCAGGGTCACTCTGGCCTGCAGGGCCGATAACGTAACCGCACCCCTGGCTCCCGAGACCCAGCTTCCCGAGCTTCTCCAGGCCTCCCGCCCCGCGGAGCGGGGCGACGCGCTCAACCGCTGGCAGGGCATAGCGTCTCGGCAGGGGCGCCGCCGCGACACGCTGAGCAACACATTCTGACAGTAGGCTTAAGTCGGGCCTGTCCCTCTAGAGGAGGAAGATCCACAAATAGTCCAACCATAGTCGGGGGACGATGTTTAAAACAACTCCTGAATACGTTTGTATTTTTGTTTGCGTATCTTGAATTTGTCGTTCCAAATCTCCCTGTGGGGGACAGGCCCGACCTAACCGTAGGCCTCTGGCTCTGGCCCGCCTCGCTCCGGCGGCGGCCGAGGGGCTGGCGGCCCGCGCCGCGCCGCGCCGCGCCGCGCCGCGCCGCGCCGCGCCGCGCCGCGCCGCGCGGCAGCTTCTGCCTGCGCGCGGCTGGCGAGGATCGCAGGCGAGGGAGAAGGGAGCCCTCGAGAGGGGTTAGACAGTCCCGCGAGTCCCTCTTTCCCCTAGGGATTCCAAAGGAAGGATTTTCCATAGCGTGATCGTTATCAGGGGCTCCAGAGGAGCGATTTCCCATTGCGTGATCGTCACCAGGGATTCCAAAGGAATGATTTTCCATGGCGTGAGCATGAGCAGGAAGGTAGCGTCACAACCTGCCTGAAGGAGAAAGATAGAAAACAAAAGAAACAGAGGGGGCCTTCGAGAGGGGCTAGGTGTATGCAGTGCGCCTCGTCTCCCGACGAGGCTCCAAGGAGTTCGGCGAAGGAGTTCGGCGTATGGGGTCGGGAACGTTTGGAGAGCGCGTCGCGCTGCCGGTTCTGGTCCACCTCGCTTGGGCGCGGCACGCTACCTGCGTCGCGGTCCCCGAGGCGTCAAAGTCCGTGGCTTTCCCGAGCCTTCGCCCGTCTGCTTCTCGTTGGCGTGGCTCTTGCCCGTCTGCTTCTCGTTGGCGTGGCTCTCGCCTTCTGCCTTCCTTTTTCGTTAGCACGTCCTTTCATGCCGTCTCGCGTACACACCCCGCCTCATTCCCCCGCCACGCTCCTCCGCCCACACCTCCACCCTTCCCAAGCTGCGGGTGAGCGAGTCGGAGGCGGATAGACCTCCTACCCTGACACGTCGATTAATGAATTGGCCGTCTTCGGTTCGCGAGAGGGCGTCGTCGCGGCCGTCATTCTTGCGGGTCCAGGTCCGTCGGTTTCGGTCCCATGCCGTTTCCACTGAAGCCTGGTTTACTAAAGGGAGGTTTGTCCACAGTTCCGTAAACCACTCTGTGCGCGGATCGGCTGTTCTGCCGCTTAGTTATACCTCTCTAGGTGACAGCATCACCGGTAACCGGCGCTCCTTCTATCGTGATCCAGCCTCTCCTTGTGCGGTGTGAGGGTTCGCTCGGAGAGTGACAACCGAGTGCGCTGCGCAAGGGGTTGGGCCTCAAACTCAGGGGCAACGTCCAGGGGGGGATAAGCTCAGGGGGGGACGCAGAGACCCCCCCACCGCCTTTTCATCGCCGAGGTTGGCCCGATGGCCCGACGACAGCCCCGCCCCGCTATCGGTGGGCCTGTCGCCGATCTATCGGCGATGCATCGCCGATTCCCAGTCGATTTCCCCTCCCCCTGAGCCAGTCCTCTTCTTACGCTTCCCCTCGCAATCGGGAGGCGCGGGGAGAGGATCTCTCTTCCGCCTCCTCCCAGCCGCCCTCCGGGACCCGAGACCCGGCCTATGGTGAGGCCGACCTGGGCCCAGACCAGCGCCGTCCTGGATCTGTTCCCGGCCTCGGCTTGCCGCCGCGTTGTGAATTGCACGAGCTTGCCGATCTCCCGCCCAGAGCGGAATGTACTTTCCAGGTTGTGCTCGCCACATCTGCTGGCATAGGCAGGCCCGCGCGAGAGGTCGACGCAGACGGACGCGTAGATCGCGCGCCCACGCTGCGTTCTTCTTACCCCCCCGCCGCCCCCGCAGGCCGGCAGCTGCCGCACCCGCGCCCGAGCCGCCGAGGCCGACGCGCCCGCGGCCGCCGCCGCCGCCGCCGGCCCCGCGCGTCGTCGCGCTCGCCCGGTGTGCGCACGGACTCTGGTAGACGGCCTGGCGGGGGGGCCGGCAGGCGGAGAGCAGCGCCTGCGTCTCGAACAGCTCGGCACGGTGCTCTGTCTGATGGGCCCGTCTTCCTTCCACCACCACCACAAGTCGGAGGGGCGGAGGAGGTGGCGGAGGAGGAGGAGGAGGAGGAGGAGGAGGAGGAGGAGGAGGAGGAGGAGGAGGAGGAGGAGGAGGAGGAGGAGTTGTTGGAGGACCCCCTCCTCCCCCTCCTACTTGTGGCGGTGGCGGTGGGAAACAAGCCTACCACTGTCAGCTCATTCAACCTCCCGGGGCCCTTCTACCGAGCCTCGGGACCGTCCAACCGCAGGCCAGGGGAAGCAAGTGTGCGCACGGATCTGCCGAACGGCCTGGGGGGGACCAGCAAGCGGAGAGTCAAGGGAAGAAAAAACACCTGGACCCGATAATTGGCATTTTCTAGACGGCCCTGGGCGTTTACTGAGCAGCCCTGCCCTGTTCGACTCCTTTTTTTGGGTGCGTTTGCTAAACGGCCTCGCTTTTCGGGGTGGTTGTTAATTATGGGGGTAGATTTTTGTTGCCCTCCAGAGCGTAGCCCTGCGTCTCGAACAACTCGGCACGGTGCTCTGTCGGCTCGTTCGGCCTCCCGGGGCCCTTTTACCGAGCCTCGAGGCCGTCCGACGGCAGGCCAGTTGGGAGCACCAGCCCCGGGGCAAAGACGTCGAGGGGGTCGAAGGGGCCCGCGCCTCGAACCGGCTGAGGAGGCGGAGGTCCCTGAGAGGGAGGGCGGCCGCCCCGCGAGAGGGCGCTCCCCATCCCTTCCTCCCCCCTCCACGGCCGCCCTCCTCGGGCCCTCCCCGCTCCTGCTCGGGCGGCGAGAGCTGTTCATAGCCACTGCTCCCTGGCCACGACCATCCCGAGCCCAGCAGCGGTATATACGCCACGCCCTCCTGGCTTGGCCAGGAGGGCGCAGAGGAGGCGCTCTAAGATTGTACCGCGGTCAACTATACGCCACGCTTTGGTGACCCTCTCGAGTTAGAGCGCATCACGCCCGCTCTTGGCTCAAGCAGTCAGTCAGGCCAAGCGCCGGATGGATGCTTCCCGGGTGCGCTCGCGAGGGTCATATGATCTCGGCGTTGCGCGAGAGCGCCGAGCACAGTGCGAGGGCCCGCAGATGTCATCGTGGAGCGGATCGGCGGAGCGCCCGGGGGGGGGGAAGGCACAGGGGGGGCGCGCCTCCCTCGGAAAGAGCTGTCCGAGCCCTCTCCGAAGCCCCGCCGCCTTCCGAGGAGGCATGCCCCCATCTCACTTGCCGCCCCGGCGCGCCACCGACGGATGTCCAGCGGGTTCGTGTCGTGACGACCCTGGCGCTGGCTTCTGACCCCGCGTGGGCCGTTCAAACTCAGGAGGAAGGAAATCACACAGACGCAAGTAACAGTCGATCCCAAGGAAACGATGGGATGTGAGGGGGGAGAAGACGAACACCCAATGTGACAACAAATCGCGGGAATTCTGGGATTTGTGTGTGTGTGTGTCTATTTGTTTGTGTGTCCCAGGGCCCCTGCGCAGACTTGAGCAATCGGCCACATCCCCCCTCCGCGCGCCGCCGAACGTGGCCCGAGCTTCGCGTGCGCCGTGGCGTGTGGGGGGCAGAGCTCCTGCCTGCCGCCGCTCGCATGACGGCAGGGCCTCTCGATGGTCCCGGGCACGGCGCCCCCCCTCCTTTCGGCAGCTCGCATTGCCCCGCACAGCTTGTGGGTGCACCGGCTTCCACTGCCTGAGGCCGCCCGCGAGCCTCCAGGAAAGATCGAGGGAGGAGAAACCACCCGGACCAGACAATTGGCGTTTACTAGACGGCCCTGGGCGTTTGCTGAACAGCCCTACCCTGTTTGATTCCTTCTTTGGGTGCGTTTGCTAAACGGCTTCGCGTGTCGGGGTGGTTATTATCGGGGTGGATTTTCTGCCCTCAAGGAAAAATGGGGCAGAGCCCTGCGAGAGTCAGGCGATCGCAAGCACGGATCCAGGGGGCGTGGATTAGCGACGGGTCCCATTTCCATGGGGAATCGCGGATTTCTGCCGGCGAACGAGGCGGCACAGGCCGCATTTTGAGGAGGGCACCTCCTCCGATCCATGGATTTGGCGACCGCGCGCCAAATCCATGGATCGCTAGTCCATGTTTGCGCGCCCCCGAGCCTGCCCACCCTCCCCAGACCCCTTCGAGTCGTGACGGCAACAACGACGGAAGGTGTTTTTGCACACGTTCGCCCTCTGGAGGCCTTCGCTGGGCCTCGCGACCGTCAAAGACCAACTCAGGATGAAAGATCGTTCCCATGGAAGGGGTCTAAACCTCCAGGGGTCCACGTGGTGAAAACGTCACGACGTGGGTGTGCTCGGGTCCCAGGGCCGCCTTCGACCCGATTCGATACCGCCATTCGATTCGCCAGCTGGGGCCGTGATGCCGACTCGATCCGATTTGGTGCGATTCGCTGGCGTCGGTCAGGGCCAGCCAGAGCCGGGCGCGGCGTTCCGTTGGGTCGTTCGGTCGGCCAAGGGGCCAAGGAGTTTGGATGTGCTGGCGCCAAATGCACCGAGCTCCTTGGCAGACCAGTCGACGCCCTGGTGTATACGTCGAGCCCCCCCCCCCCCCCCAGATTCGGGACGCTTCTCCATCTGGCCCGTTTCTGGTCCGGTCCGGTGTCACGGTTCGGTCCAGCTCAGGCCTGCTTCTGCCAGCCGCGCGCAGAGGAGGGGGTGGGCGCAGGGGGGAGGGCTTCTTAGAGTCTTAGAAGCACCCCTGCGTCTTAGCAGGCGCGGGCCTCGTCTCAAGATGTAAGGCCGGAGCCTTCTAAGAAGCAGCCCCCTTCTAAGACGCCCTCCCCCCTCCCCCTACCCCCCTTCTGCGCGTCGCCAATTCTGCCCCCCCCCCCCCCCCCAGCCGAGGAAGAGCCCGAGGGTGAAGCCCATGCGCAGGCCGGCGGGGAGGCGGGCGAGGGGCGAGGAGGAGCCCGAGGAGGCCGACGAGGCGGCAGGGCTGTCGGCGGACGAG